TTTTGTTATGACAAGTTTAACGGGCCATAACAATAATTTACAAAATATTTTTATTTTTTTTTATATTTTTTTATATTTTTTAATTTTTTTATCCTGTTTTCTGTCTAGTTAAAATAAAATAATTGCATTTTTTTTAAATGTTATTATTGTTTTTTGACATTATTTTTGACAATGATAACTACTTTTTATATATATATATTATTAATAATAATAATCATAATATATATTAAACTAATTATTGTTAATTTTATTTAGACAGTTAATTTTTCTTTTAAAAAAAATTAACTTAATTTTATTTGTTATTTATTTATTTATTTTTTGGCTACTAGTATTTATTAGTTGAGTTAAAAGTAATAAATAAATTATGACATATAACTAACAACAACAACAACAACAAAAACAAAATAGTTATTATGTTTTTTTTGCTATAAACTGTATAAATATATATATATATTATATATTAAATATAAATATTAATTAAAACAATAATATTTTCTAATAATTATTATTATTATTTTAATTTGTTATAATCTCTATAAACTTAAACATATGCTAATATGCTATAATTAATACATATATACAATATAACTAATATTTAATTTTTGTTGTTGTTGTGGTTACTATTATACTGGTATAATAGGCTTAACAATATATATATAAATTTTATTTAAAGATTTATGTATAAAGACTACATTACTATTATAATGTTTTGTAATAATATGTAATGTTATAAATCTAGTGTATGAAATGCATAACAATTTTTTTTGTTTGTAAATTTAGCTAGCTTATTATATATATAAAAAATAACAGTAAATTATTGACTATATAAATGTACTTTTATATGACATTTTTTGGATTTTTAAAATCCTTATAATACACTATATATATATATATATTTATATATATATATATTACATGAAAAAACAACAAATTTAATTTATTTTTATTAGCTTATATATATAATATTAGCTTATATATATATATATATATGAAATATATTGTACTTACAATTGAAATTTATTTATAAAGTTAAACCATAGTTAATAGCATATGTAATAAAGATATTATTATTATTATTATTATTAGTTTATATTTGTTAAAATTTACATTTTTACTGTTTTAGGACTATATAATAAATAATTGAATAATTAAATGTCAAACACCAATGATTAATATATATATATATATATATATGGAAAATTATTTTATTGTTATTAGTTTAATATTATTATAAATATGTATATTAATAGTCACCAATCACTAATTTAGTAAATTTTAAAAACTTTTAACTAAAATAAAATTAACTAAAAAAACCTAAAAAATAATTAAACATTAAACACACATTTTTTGAGTAAATATAAAATTTAATAATAATAATAAACACATTTATATAAATATAAATTTATATATAACTATTAGGGGTTTATTTTTGGTTAATTATAATATTTACAACTATAGTATAATTATTATTTTATTAGTAAATAAATATTAGTATATTATATATATTTATATATAAATAAAAACTTTACCGATACGTCTGGTAGTGGACGACAATCGCCGTATATTCCTGACCAGTGGCCTATGATTGCCGTTAACACGTTGATAGAGACCGCAAGCGTTGCATAGAAAGTGGCCGGGACCGTATCGGCGCCATAAACTACCGGTGCCATTGCAATAACAATAAATAGGAAAACAAAATCAAAATAATAATAATAATAATAATAATAGTTTAATACAGAAAAACAAAATTTAAAAATTATTAAAAAATTTGTTTAATTAAGTTATTATTAATTAAATATTATTAAACAAACAAAAAACAAATTTTAAAATATCAATAAATTAATAATTTAATAAATATGTTTATTATTATTATTATTATTATTATTATTTGATAATAATGTTATTGATATTTTATTATTATTATTATTATTATTATTATTATTATTATTATTTATTTTTGTTTATTAATTTATATGCATTTAAAAAAATTATATTATATTATTATATTTTTTTTATTAGTTTATTAGTGAATTCATTTAAATGTATTTAAATAATTTAAAAAAAACTAATGAATAATTATCTCTTATTTTTTTGTTTTGTTGTTTTTTGCTAATGAATTATAATTTATTAGTATTACTATTATTATTATTATTTAGTATTTTTTATATTTGTTAGTATTTAACTTAATTTAAATATAATTTGACTTTGAAAATTGCATTTATAATCGATTAAACAAAAAACTAATAATAATTTTCAATAATATTTTCAGATTAATTTAATTTTTATTTAGTTTTTTTTATTAATAAAATATATTAATTAACAGGCATATGACTACTGTATATAATTTTTTTTAAAAAAATAATAATAATAAATACAATATCAATAAAAAATAATATGCAAATTAATCTAAATTACTATACATAAGGCGTAAATGTGTGATTTTATTGCATATTTTTGTTTGTTTGTTTGAAAATATTAATAAATTTTTATCTATGTATTAATATATTTTTTAAATAATAAATTTGACATTTGAAATGTTTGTTTAAATTTTTAATTAATTTATTAAATAAAATAATACTACTATTACTACTAGCAGTGAAAATTTTAATGTAAACTATCATAAAATAATATTAATTAATATTTTTAATATATAAAAAAAAATTTTATGCTAATAATTTTATTGAACAGTCAGATAAATACTATTTAAAATTTTTTTTTTTTAAAGTTTTTAAATATAATTTAATAATAATAATAATATAAATATATTATAATATATTTTAATACATACGGCGTTGAATTAGTGCCACAATTGGCGCACTCTCTCGAATCGTTACAATTGTCTAAATTTGTATCCATTGGTAATAATAATAATAATATTTAAATATATATATAAATTATATATATATATATAATTTTTTTTCAATTTAACTATTTTGTTGTTGTTGTTGTTGTTGTATAAACACTTTAGTATATTATAGTATAATATTATTTATATAGAAGTTATTATTATTTAACTAATAGTTAATTAACTTTTTTTTTGATTATTAACATTATTGATAAAATTTTGATGCATAAAATTTATATGACAATTATATAATTTTTTTTTTGTAAATCACATGATATAGATTGACACACATGTATATCACAAATTTATTATTTTAATTAATTAATAATCATAATTTAAACCGTATTAAAATTTATAAAATAGTTAAAAAAAATAAACACATTTCTATAATTAAAACACTATTGAATAATAAAACAATATAAAAATTTTCATATAAAAAATATATAATACTTTTTAATTTATAAAAATATCACTAATTTTTTCAATAATAACACTTTGTATATATATATATATATGTTGAGTATTTTTTCAACAACAAACAAATTGTAGATATATTTAATTAACATTTAAATTAAAACTCTTAAAGTTAATATATATATATATATATATTATGTATATATATTATATATATTTATAAATTATCATAAAAGTTAATTTTCACAGAGAGATAGAGTATATATATATATATATATATATATATATATATATATATAGTAATCATATCCAACATCCGGTATCACATAAAAAATTATTATTATTATTATTTTGCAAAATATATTAAATACATATTACTTGTATACATACTTTAAAAAAAACAAAATGTGTTAAACTTTGTTTAAAAAAATTACACATAATTTTTTATTTTTTTAAATTTATGTCTCTCTCTCTCTCTCTCTCTCTCTTTCTCTCTCACATATCACTGGTTGTATATATAAAAAATAGTATTATTATTATTAATATTTTTTGTCATTATTATTATTACTACAATATACTATATATGTATATATATACGTTAATATAACTAAGCACAGGTATGTTGTTGTGTCGTCGTCTATATTATAGTAAAACATATGATATAAGAGAGAGAGAGACCCGAGAGGGTTGGTTGAGTTGGTTGGTTGATAACTCTGCACACAATTATAGTTCATTTATTATATAACAATTAACTTTTAAAAAAGTAGTATTACTTTAGTTATAGTAATAATAATAATAATAATAATAATTTTTTTAAAAAAACTAAAGACAACGACAGATAAAACCGTATAATAAATCCATTTGTCATTTGTTTCACTTGTTTAAGCTTTTTATGTTTTTAAAAAAAAGGATGACTACTCTCTCTCTTTCTCTCTCTCTCTCTCTCTCTCTCTCTCTTTCACTCACTTACTCACAAAATAATAGCACTGTTTGTACAAACATTTATTATTTAAAAATAAAAAACAGATACAATCAGATCTTTCAGCTACCGGTGCCATCGTATATAATAACAGGAGAGACCATCTGTTTTTAATTTTTTTATGAATGTATGGATGGATTAGCAATGATTAGCCATATTGTTGTTGTTGTTATCACTTTCAATGATAATATATATATATATATATATATATATATATCTATATATATGTGTAAAATATTATTAATAAGTTTTGCTAGTTAGACACAAGTTTTTTGATGTAAATTTTAGCTTTTAGTTTAGTTGACAATTGTTTTGTATTTAATATTAAACAAACATTTTGTTGAAGTTGTTGTTGTTGTAGTGGTGGTGACTATCAAAACCATAAAATTGATGTATTTTTCAATTATTATTATTATTATTATTATTAGTTGTTAATAGGGATGTCCATCAACATAACTGAAGTGATAAAAAATACATATAATAAAAACTATTAGTTATGTTTTGTTAAAAGTTTTGTATTAAAAAAATACTAAAAAAAATAGTAATAATAATCTATTAAATTATTGTTTATTTCTTATTAAAAAATAAAATGTGAGTGTATGTGTGTGACCACAATAATTAGTAATACATTTATATTAATGATAATAATAATAATAGCAATAATGTATATCAAATAAACATACAAAACAAAAAAAATAGTAATCACATCATCAATCATATAGAGATTATACACTTTTGTTTGTAAAACTATGTGTTAAAAGTCACTGAATATATTCACGCCATTATATATATATATCATATATTATATCATAGTTACATAATATAGTAAATAAAATTAAATAAAAATTTGTTTTTACATTATATACACTTATATATATACTAAGGTTTACTTTAGTAATTTTGTTAACAAAATTATATATATAAAAAAAACTATGTATTAATTTTACACACATTTTTTTAAGTAATAGTAGTTAAAATAATAATAATGATATCTTAATATACAGTATATATATAAATGTCTATAAAAACAAACAATACTAATAGTGTTGACAGTTATGAAACATCACATTTAGCATAGATATGATATGATAGCAGATTAGCTGTAAAAGATAAAGGCGCGCACCGGGAGGTCATAAGGTATTAAAAAAAACATGAGTTATCTGTACGGTTGACACCAAGCATTGAATAAACAGTAAAATAATAATAATAATATTTCATTATTATTATTATTATTATAGACAAATGTTTATATAACTGTATTGTTTGCTAAGTGAGAGAGAGAGAGAGAGAGAGAGAGAGAGAGAGAGAGAGAAAGAGAAAGAGAAAGAGAAAGAGAAAGAGAGATATGTGTGTAAACTATCACTAAAACGTTTCATTTATTATAATAACAAAAAATATAAAACAGTTGGATAATGGAAAGGTATGTTTGCACACACACACACACACACACACACACACACACACACACACACACACACACACACACACACACACACACACACACATTAATATATTAGCAAATTAAACATTATACTGTAGATATAGACTACTATATATATACAGTATATATATAATGACCAAACATACTATAGATGGGTATATCCTGAATATATATATGTATATATATATATATATATATATATAAATTTCACTGAATATTATTAACACGTATTAACACTTAACAAGTAATATACACTAAATTATAATTTACTTTATATATGTATTATTAATATATTTATATAACATTATATATATATATAAAGTGGAAAGTTTTATTTTCGGTAAAAAACATTATTATTATTATTAAAGTATATATATAAACTTTTTTGCAGTGCAGACAAACAAATTATTATTTAACAAAAAAAATATATATATATAAATAAATATTATTATTTTTTTAACAAACCATTTACCGGTGCAAACTGTTGTGACTGACTGACTAACCAAACTGATTATGGCTTTCAAAAAAAAACTTTCAAAGTAAAAGCCAAACACATTTTAAACTAAATTAAACTAAAGTTTTTTTTATAAATATGTTTTTTCCCTTTAAAAAACATACACTAACTAAATGTTGAACAGTCAGTCAGCCTCTATCTCTCTCTCTCTCGGCACCGGTATTTGAGTTTTCATTGAATGACTGTAACTCTCTCTCATACACACTCACACACTATACACATAGAGAAGCTATAACATGAAAAACCACTGTACTTGTAGTGTATATTATAATTTATATATACTGTATATACAGTATATATATACATGTATTTCATGGGACAGTACCTATTCATGAGTTTTTGTTGTTGTTTTGAAAATAAAAATCAAACAATATTACAGGTAATGATACTATAATATAGTTATATATATTTTTTAATATAACTAACAAATATAATATTCATACATTAGATACATACATAATTTTTTTTTTAAAAAAACATTGTCAAACAATTATTTTATGAATATTGTTTTATTTTAAAAAAAAAATTATATAAAAATTTTGTTGTTGTTGTTATAATACTGTAATTTTTTTATTTAGTTATTTTAAACTATTAATTGTAAAACATGTTTAAACTGTTAATTAGGCAATAGTTTTGTTGTTGTTGAGTACGCTTTAGTTATTTTTATGCAATAATCAACAAATATTTTTCAAATATATATATATATATATATAAAATAAGGATTGATTAAAAAAAACTTGTATTTATTTTTAATTTATACTGTATATTAAATCTATATTAAAAAAAGTGAGTGAATTAGAGAGAGAGAGAGAGAGAGAGAGAGAGAGAGAGAGAGTTATATTTTTATAAAATTAGTTTAATTACTTATTTTCTCCATAATATAAACTTAATACAGTTATTTAGTTAGTAAAAAAATTAATATCGCTTTTTAAAATGTTTAAAAATATACTACCAATGATTTAGTTTATATATATATATAAATACAAATATATACAATATAGTAGTTGCAATTGAGGTTAGTTATCATATATTTACTACTGAATATACAATATATATATATATATATATATTTAAGTACTATTAGTGATCGTAAATCATTACGATTTAGAAAAAAAAATATTTTAAATAAATATATATATATATGTAATGTATAAATGTATATAAAATATATATATAGTATATAATACTATAAATTATATATATATATATAAATTTAATGTTTCAATAAATTCATAGTAATTCAGTATAAATACAATAAAAACTTATACATATATAGATAAATACTGTATTTAATGTATAAATTTTTTTTTATAAATATATTATTTACATTTCCACAAACCCACACAAAAATTTATTTAAGTTTTAAAACTTTTATATATATATTTCAATTTAATAATAATAAAATCAATAAAACTAAGATAATAAATTGCATAATTAAAAAAAATATTGTATTTTTAATAATAGTTTCTAATAAAATGTTAATTAAATTCAAATATAATATTTGTTTTATTTGTATATTTATAACTAAGTTATCATTATATTAAAAAAACTAATAATATTAATAAATCAATTGGTTTTTAAATAATGATTAACCATTTGAATTGATTTGATTTGTAATAATTGTAATATCATATTAATAAACAAAAACAAAAATTTGCAATTT